TGCTTTTAAATGTCCTTGATGACTGGTTTGACACGGGCAGTGAGACATCACATGATTTGTTCTTTATTGTGACTATTTCTGTGTCTTACAATGCAGCGGTAAAAGCTGCTTATTAACAATGATGTCAAAACAAGAAAATAAACAGGGAATGAAGTTTCATCTGTAGTATTCACTGCAAAGGGTTGTTACAATAGTCTCAATAAAAGAAGAGCAGAAGCTTTGCTTTGCCATCTGCAAGGCAAAATACCCTTTCCTCCTTTATTAAGCAACATTTCCTAGTGGAGATCTGCAACTTTTTGGATGCTAGTAATATAAAATTTATATTAAAATGTTCAGGAAAACAGTAAAAAAAATTATCGATATGTCACCAATCTCTGCTTGTTCAAAAATACTGAAATTATATGTCATAAGGGGTGTAATGACAAGATGATAACTCTAGAGAAACAATGATACCTATTAAAAAAATACACATATTAAATGAAAAAAGTTGGACAGAAAATAAGCTGTTAATTAAGAACAACACTTGAAAAAAAAATCAATATCCATATGTAAAAAGTTTTGGACTATACACTGATATTCAAAATCACTAAAAGGTTTCATGATTTAAATGCAGAATGGAGATACTGATGACGTGTGAAACATAAAACCTAGAGATCAGCTGCTTATATTCTGTCCTAAAGAAATACACTCGCTCGAGGTGAGTACTAGGGATGGCAGCATTCAAGTGACATTTCAACTGCTACCAACTACTAAGTTGTAACACATCAGTGATTGTGTGTTCTTCCCTTTCAATCATGGTACCTGCAAACTCTTTTGCGCTTGACAGAAATAAAAGCCATTTGAATTGTTAGGACTAGTAATCCAGATAATTTGTGTTCACAGTAGATTTCAGAGGAAAATTATAGCCTATATAAGAAATTGAAGATATCCTTCTGCTCAAAACCACATCTCAAAATCAGCATAGTCAGGTTACTTCCTTAAATCCTATTGCCACAAAGGGAATTGGAGTCCTATCCACACATTATCCAAGCTCTGGTAGCTGAAGTCATTCACTGATCAAAGTAGAACGTTACTGGTTTTGACTACTGATCTACAAAGACTTTTATAGAATTGGAGAAGATTTTAACATTGTTTAATCTTATTTTTCTGTTTCAGTGAAAGAAAAAAATTGTTCATTTGTTTTGAGGAAACAATATAAAGGTTTTCTCATAGATTTTTGCTGTCAAAGGAAAGCTCACAGATCTTATGGGGTGTTGATTAATTTTTCTTCCCATTTCTCATTTTACAGTATTTATTAAGTAATGTCTGCTGTCTAAAGAAGACCGATCTGTTCCAGAGGTATGTTCAAGCCTTAAGAAATCTATGAATATTTATCACTCAAACTTGTCATACCAGCAATATTAAAACTTGGACAATAAAGTGGAAAAAACTGTTGCTTGTTCCTGCAATACATCAGTTCTTATTCTCTATACCACAGGCCATTTAATATCAATTAATGAATCTATCAATATTGATACCTATACTGTCCTCTTTTAGCCTAGAACTAGATAACAAAGAGTGTATAACACCCAGAAATACCTTCTTGTGCAAAAATTTGGGATGATTTTGCATTATGAGTGAATGTGCAAAATTTGCGTGTGCATATATATTATACACACACATATTGTGCACACATGCACGATAAGATATGTATACTTCCATAAAAAGGATTTTAACATAATCCTTCACAGTGATCAAGGTAGCAAGGCAGTTGCAATGGCTTGCCCCTCTGCATGACTGCCTTTCTTGAGTAAAACCACAAAGGGCAGAGATTTGAGTCCAGTCACTGGTTTTGTTTTTCACATCTATACTAACCTAAAGCAAAGGGTTAATGAGGCTTTCAGAAATCATGCCACCTGCATACTTACACATAATAAATACAAGAAGTTGCTATCTTATAGAAACTGCTTTTGTGAAGGCTTTTAACCTCTTAATTAAACTCTTGAAAAGACTCCTGCTATTTCAAAGGTTTCAAGAAAGAATTCCTATTGTAAATCAGAAACCAATGCAAAACAACCTTGTGAAAAGAAAATTCCTAGACTATATGAAACAAGAAATTGAATCTGTGCACACCTTTATCTGACAGGCACAACCCCTTTTAAGCAAACAAAAGAATAATAGTTTTCTTTTCCTCAAAGAGGTCTCTTTTGCCAGTGATCATTTTTCAGGTGATAGTAGTTTTTCTGTACAAACCTGTATCACTCCATCTTGGGTCTGCTAGACAGCTGTCTAAATGCTTCTACTGACCATTCCTATTCTCCCTCTGTTTTAATTCAGTCACAAACTAACAGTCCTTTACATGGACTGCACAAACTCTGGTTTACTTCAACTTCTTCACCCAAAGAAAAAAATATTTACAACAAAGCCTGAGCGAAACTGTCATTTTGTTTAGAAACTGTACCAAAAACTCTTTCAGAGCAACAAAGCAACTCTTGTTGGCTTGGCTTATCTCGTTTTGGTCCAGAATGTGTATAGAGTGATGTGATCTCAGCGAGATTTTTTTTTTGTTTGTTTAGCAGAAAGAAAACCTAGTATAGTCACTAGACCAGCATTTTCTCATGACTTTTCCAAAGATCAAAGGAAAGAACTGTAACCTCAAAAGTATACGGCTGAGATATTTGTCTGTGTCTGGTCAATAAAGAAAAAAGGCACCTGACCAAATAACAATTAGAAGATAATTAATTCTTAGGGCTGTTTCACCTTTAGAAACCTTAACAAATGCTTATGTATTATGGAGGTAAATTTTGTTCAAGAGGGACATAAGAACCTGGGAGCTAATACAGTATAATGTGTGCCTGTGCAGTGGTAAGTCATACACAGGTGACATAATTTTGCTGAAAACACAAAAATCCATTAATTTCATTCATTCTGTTCTCCAGAGCTTGGCTGAACTGAACGTATGCAAAATATGTTAGCCTTCTCGTGGAACTTCTTTATACACACAAAAAAGAAGAGTATGTTCATCGTAGTACAATTCTCAATCAACACATCTTAAATCTAACTAGACTGGTACAGATGCACCAGCTTTGTACAGATGCTCACTCTATCCTTGTCGTGGTTAGACTCTTACTAGTGATGTTGGTGATCAGTGCACACTGTAGCAATATTTTCTGTAATAGCTATTTGAACTTAAAGACTGAATTCCCCATTTAGATCTTGGAACTTTTTAGGATAATAATTTTATTTGAGAGTAATTCTATGACATTATAAGGTGATCAACTAAGGCAGAGAGAAGAGGCAGCTGACATCTTCCTCTGACCAAAGAACTGCTTCTCTGTTTCCAATCATCTAGATATTTTATGCTGCATATTCAAAATCAGTAGATCCTTTAGAAAATTTAGGGGTTTTTTTTATTTATCAGGTGACAATGCAAGTCTGTGGATAATTCAGAAACTAACTCTATTTACTGCATCCTGCGTTGAGACAGCACAAGGGTCTTTGTGGTTTCAAAATGCAAACTGCAAGTGCAGCAGAAGGAACTCATGATACCCAGTTGACTGCACAGGAACATAGCAGAGGAAGTTCAGTATAGATAGGTGTCAAGAGAGGCACTTAGGGAAAAGGCAATTCAAACTTTACAAGACAAGCTCTTGAGTAGCTACTAACATGCTAGAAAGAGGTCCTGGAGTTGTAATAAGTATGAAAATAACAACTTGGCATTCAGTAAAGGTTAAAAAATTAAAAAACCCAAAGTTTTGATAGTTAGTAGGAAAGCAAACAAAGAAGTGTCCATAATTGCCCTCTATAAATCCATGGTATGCAAGCACTTTAAACATGCTATGCAGGGCTTATCCCTCCTTCACTTCTCTCAGATCAAATACATGAGAACTGAAAGAAAGTTCAGTAAAGTGACAAGGATGAACAAAGGAATGGAAGAGCTTCCACATGAGAAACAATCCTAACAGCCTACGCCTGAAAAATTGACTAATGGAGATACAACAGAGGTGTATAACTCTGGTGTACATCAATAGAGAACTGCTGTTTCCACTTTCTCCTGCTGCTGCATTTAGAGAACATCAAATGTGGTGAAGATCCACGGAAATAACAGAAGGTACTTCACCACGCTACACTGGCTAGCTGATCAGCAGACATGCTGCCACAAAAAATCATGAGTGTTTCACTGGCTCAAAAAGCAACTGTACCAACTCATAAAAGAAAACCCTGAGGAGCTACCAAAGCCACAATAGGCTCAGTGAGTCCTTGAGTGCAAATTTCTGGCAGCTGGGACAGTTTACCAAAGCAGTACTATTATATTCTTTGCTGGACTTTCCAGTTTTCCTTTAGTATCTGTTCTTGAAGGCTCAGTGCTGGGCTAGGTCAGTTTTTAGCACAACCTGATACAACCATCCTTATATTACAGAGTAGAAGCATATCAGAAATAATTTCGTTAATACTACGAAGCAGCCAATCTTCACTCCTGGTCTAGCAGTTTTGGCAGGAGTTCTGTTAAAACTGAAGCTCGTGGACTGAGTCAGCATGCACAGTCAAGAACTATAAATACAGAGACCTGCCAGAAGCACAGAATATAATTAAGCATCTTCTAGCACACTTTGTTTCATGAGCTAATAGTGTTTTCCATACTGCTTAAAATGAAAAAAATTACACCAAATGAAAAAAAACAACAAGGGAGTCATTTGGGATTCTTTCTCTTCCCTGGCAAAGAATCTTAACAAGAAACTGTGTTCTGGACAAAAAGCATTGCAGGCCAAAGAGTGTCTTTTCAGATGGTGAGCCAGTTTATAATGCTGCAAAGAAGCTGTCAGTGTCATGAAATTACTGGAACGAAATCAGTCGCTTTTGATGCTTAATTGAGAGTACAATTCTCTTGAAAAGCAGCTCACAGAGAGTTAAAAGAAAAAGTTGATTCAGCACATTATTAAGTGATATTAACAGATAATTAATAGGTAACCATACATTACTGTTCATGCAAGGTTGCAAGTTGATTTATCAGGTATACTCACAGAGACTGCAGGCTGCGCAAGTTCTGGAGTGCTTCAGTAGGAACCTGGCGTAGCTGGTTATTCTGCAGCATCCTACATTTTGAATAGCACAAAACCCAGAATCAACACAGTAAAGACAATTTCTTTCTATTGCAAATTTTCTTCCAAGCTTACCTCTTTTGTAGTAGTTCTACTTTCAGATTACAAACAAAGGAAAGCTACACAAATACTCCAGTTCCCTGACCCTGTCAAAAGCCCGCTCTCTTCAAAGCAAACAAATACCTGTAGCATATTAGCTTTGTTAACAGCTAGATAACAGCTTTGAGCAGAATTTTCAAAGCAACTGAGAAAGTTAAAAGAATAAATCCGATTTTCTTTCAGTAGGACTTAAGTTCCTAATTTGCCTCCAGTGACTGAAATTTTCATTCTCATGTACCAATTTTGTTTTCCTTCTGAAGTGATTCTATTCTGATAAAGCTGTGAAGGACTGACTCTTGAAATCCTTACTTAGGAAAATGCTACTACGGCAAATGAAACTTTTAACTATATGAGTAATTTATGATTTGGTCTGAAGAAAATTTGATCTCTATAAAAACTGCTTTATTTTTTTCAGTGAAATAGATTTTCTCAAACTGAAGGTTGCTAGCAACGACCTGACAAATCTGTTTTCTGAAATATCACATCGTTTAGCTTGCAAAGATTGAAAAATCACTTTTCATTCCTAAATAATCTTTTTCTCCCTTTGAATATGGTTTCATTCACACTACCTAATATCCTTGTTTGGACCAACTCCTACACATATAAAAGAATTCTATGTGGATAAATCTGAAGCAGTACATGCTGCCTTCAAAATGAGGCATACTCAATGGGAGACTCGAAAAGAAATAATTTTTGGCAGACTTAAAGCTCCTTGGGCCAACAAGAGCTAGAGCTCATCAACTGAAAAGAAGATGGAATAAGAATCTCTTCATACTTCTTTTCCAGTTGTGTATTTTTTCAGTAGAGTTTTGTATACTCTTACAGTAGCATCAGGCTTGGCTTGACACTGCCTAGGAGGTTGGTGTTCTTGCTAATAATACAATTTCTGTGAATTTTACATAGGCGAAGATCCCCTCTAGTGTAATCCCCACTGTGGTATGTGGCCTGCTAATAATTTTAGTAACTGTATGAGTGACGTATTACTCCAAATAATACAGGGTTTTTTATAATTTATCCAATAGTCATTACATTGTAAAGAGCGAGATATGAAATATGGACTGCATTGTAAATTACATTGTGTTCTACAGTAATGCTTTTTACCCCCCTGGTTCTCAAGAAAAGGAAAAGGCAATTTAACCCCAGTTTTGTGTGATCATGAAAAGTTCACTTGAAATCAGAACTTTGAGACAATTGAAGAAACTATTAACTGAACCATTTTTTACCTTTGATATTGTACAGAGACATCTACTTGATGAGCAAGTTGTTTTTAGAATGCCATTAATGTTTTCCAACCTTTGTTTAGGATATTTTCTATACGAAAAAACAAAGATTTAATGATGTTCATATGTATCTTCACTTCAATTGAATTGTTCAAAGTGAGCTGATCGAAATATGTAATTTACTTGATCAAAACTTCACTGGCTAATTAGTTCCCTGGAGCATTTAGGAAATCAGAAATATATCAAACAACACACAGTTTACTTACAGCACTTTAAGACTGAAAAGGCCAGCAAATGCTCCCTTAGGAATGTATGTCAAGCCATTTCCTGCAAGACGTCTGCAAAGTTTGAAAAAGGAAAAGAAAAAGAGTGAATACTTTTTTTTCTCTTCATGTGGAATTAATTTGGTTGTTAAAAAGTGCAAAACAGCTATGTTTGAGCAACCAATGCCAGAGACAGTAGTTGAAGAAACTAGTTTTGTCATTAATACAAAGAAAAAAAAAACCAGAATTCTTTAACTGCACAGTTGATCCACTGACAGATGGACCGCAGCAAAAAAGAACCATTTCATAGCAAATTGTCCTTATGGTTTAGAATGCACATTGAATGAATTCTTCATATTGTTTTTAGAGGTTAGAGCAATCCCAGCAACTAAAATACAGACCTACTGACAACAATTAGCATCAGAGGATTTACAGACATGCACTTTGTGTAATTGTGCATGTATGATGTCCGACCACATTTAACTCATCTGCACTAATATAAAAATAGATCCATATAGTAATGACCACAGTTCATTTTAAAATAACTACACATAAAACTGCTGTACCAGTGGAATAATAGTTTTCCTGTGAGCAGTTGTGTAATAAGCTGGCAAAAAGTATTTGCTGAAATTTGTAGGGTTTTTTTCCCTACTTCTATTGCATCTTCCTCTCAGAATGCCTGAAAGTATTTTACGGACCTAGTTAAGTACAACAAATACCTCTGTAAAGCATGTAACTCTTACCAAAAAAAGGCTGCATTCTGTAAGGTTTTTGTTCAGGAAAGGGATAATCTATTTGATACAAAATAACGGCATTTCCATGTTCTGGCCCTCAGGAAAGAACATAGGATTAGTTCCAGGAAATGCCTTAGGTACCAAGCTGCCAGAGAAGAACCTACAGGACTGAATTAGAATCATAGAATCAGCCAGGTTGGAAAAGATGTCTGAGATCATCAAGTCCAACCCTTGATCCAACACCGCCGTGGTTACTAGACCATGGCACTAAGTGCAACATCCAGTCTCACCTTAAAAACCTCCAGGGATGGACAATCCACCACTTCCCTGGGCAGTCCATTCCAATGCAGGATTACCCTCTCTGTAAAGAATTTCTTCCTAATATCCAACCTAAACCGCCCCTGGCAGAGCTTAAGACTATGCCCTCTTGTCTTACTGATAGTTGCCTGCTCTGAATATTTTTCAATTTGGAAAGACCTTTCACTAATTTTGCAGACAGTGATTAATTCTATCTTATTTGATAGAATTATATGATGATCTTATATGATTCTCTGCTAATGCAGCAGCAGATCATGCTCATCATGTACAGCCCTCCATACTTCAGTAGAGGGTTACATAAAGTATATCACAAATGCACGTATGTCCTTGTAGTTCTCTCACAAAGCAAACTGACATTGTCAGAAAAGGTAGACACCTGGCAACAATTACTTTAGATGTAGTGACATTGTCTGACCTTCATTTACCATAGTAAATGCTTTCTCATGATGGCTATTTCATGATTTACTGTGGAACAAGTTCTGGAAAAGCACCTATCTATTCCCAAGATGTTTCTCGAAACCACTTCTGAACACTGGCACAATAGTAGCATCTTTCCAGCCCACTGGAATTCCCTAGCATTGTAGTATTCTGTAAAAATCAGGAAAAATTATTCATTTGCATAATTGTCTAATTCTTTCAATATTCTTGGATGAAATCTAGCACATCAGTTCTTTAAGGCATGCTGCAAAGCTCATTAAGTTCAGGTTATTTGTTCCTGATAATTTTTAATGTCTTCCTTGCAGCATTTTCTTACTGTGTTTCTATTCTCAGCTTTGGCATAGGGAAAAATTAATCCCTTTGTTGACACTACACTATATATCAAGTATCTACCAGCGTCCACTTTTCTCCACCTCAGGGATTTTGTTTTCTATTATCCTAAATTATTTGAGGGAAGCTTCCCAACATTTTTCTGAACTTTGGATATACTTTGGGTAGTAATTTTAGTCTGAATGGGTAAACATAATTTCCCTGAACAAATGAGAATGGACATAATATCTGTCTCCATAGTTGAGTATTTAGGTAATGATTTTGGAGAGCAGGAATGAAATAGTTTTTTTATAGCATTTATGTAACCAAATGTCTGGCTTTTATTATTTGAACAACTTTGAATTCCCATTTTTGAAAGTTAATTCTTTTATTTCAAGTATTTCTGACATTATTTTACAAATACCTTGTTATTTAAAAAATATCTCATTACATACATTCAGGCTTACATGTAGCACATCTCTTTAATGAAAAAGTAATCAAAAAGGATCACATTTTCTGGGCTATATTATTTTAGATTTAGATTTTACTTGCAGTGCTTTGAATAATCTTGCAAATTAATGGAGGCTGGAAAAGTTTACAGAGAAGTGCCATGTCTCCTTCAGTATCTGCCACAGCTGGAGTCAAGATACTAGGATATCTTTAGTTTAGGCATTGGCTATGTTTTTATACTATTGCATGTTTCTTCATAAGAGATGTAAGAAACCCACAGAAAGCTCCAAAAATTATCAGAAACTTTTTTTTGTTTTCCTTTCGTTGTCTGAAAAGAAAAACTTCATCAGATTGAAGCAAATAAATATGAGGTTGTAACTGAGAACAGTCAACTATTTCCTTTATATTTCTAATACAATAATTCTTCTTTGCCAACTAAAAACAGCTTTATGTGTGGATGTTTCCTGCACCATGACAAGCCTTTCCTGGCACCAAACATCTCCTCATTACCTGATGGGAAGGAAGGTGAACTCGAAACACTAAAAAGTCTTCTCTGTACAGATAAAAAACCGTGGCCTTTAACAAAGAAAGCAGCTTTCCACTGACTGTGGAAAGAACCTGTGGCAAATCTAACCCAGCTACTTCTCACTGTCTGCAGCAGACAGTGCTAGTACAATATGGGTAGTGGCTGCTTTTCTTCTTTGCCTAAGTAAAATCTAGTCCAGCAAATGCTGAACAAGCATCTGTGAAGCGTATTTCAAAATCTAGTAGTATCAAACCTATAGCCAGGACATGAAAGGAAGGTAATTGTCTCCTTGAGAAAAAGCATATGTTTACACTGATTAATATTCATGCCGTGTTCTAACAGGATTAGCACAATGGAATTTTCTGGAACAAGTTACTGATCAACTCTTTCAAGGTGCTGAAATGCAGGAGAATAGATGACACTCTGGATAGTGATACAGGTCAACATATGATGGGAATAAACAGTGTGAAAGGAGTCAAGCTCCACTATTAAGAAGAGAAAATGCAGTGAAATCTCTTGTAATTCTATTTCAGAACAGATACAGTTAAGTACAAATTCATTACGCTCAAATTTCTGATAAATATTTTGGATTCTTATTATTATCCCCGTAAATTATTATATGAACACCAAACTGACTCAATGTTTCTAGACTAGTGCCAGTGCATGTTCTTTAATATAGATTAGGTTATATATCATTGCATCACTTGTGTTGCATTATATTTAATCAGTTCTCACATAGTGCAATATCCTATATAGAATGTAAAGATGAGTGCAATATGAAATCATTCTTCAACTGTGCAAAGATACAGAGGGATTTCTACAAAAATAATTCTGTGAACGACTATCCTGCCTTGATGTCTCTTTGACTCTGCATTTTACTTCTCTTCACTAACTGGTTTGCTGATTTTATTTAAGGAATGAGAGCAAGACCTGCACATGCTAAGAGAATGCTATCATGAATATGTTTATATATATATATATATGTATAAAAATTTATATTTATGAGTAGATTAACATCAACAGAGTCACAATTCAGTCAGTTTTATATTTGCCTGTTTTCTTGGAAAACAGAGGTTCTATTTATAATTTGCTACATTGTATACTACAGCTAAAAAACTCTCCAGACAGAAAACTGAACAGGGATCATACGGAAGAACCTAAAAATTGTTGAAAAAAAATAATCTTTGCTTTTCTGAATAGAAATTGGAACTACAGAAGGCCTGAGACAGTGAAAAACCACAACAGATGGGACAGTTCTGCTGCTATGTGGTACCTTCTTGAATTTGGTGCTAAAACACTAGCATGTGATGTAGAAAACTCTATTAAAATTCATGTAATCATGACTGTGTCTTTTTTATCTTGTGAACAGATAAGAAACTCTCTTTTGTAATTTGAAACTTCTTAAAAGTCTGATCTGCCTCTCCAAATGCCATAATAGTTCTGAATAACTGATAAAGATCCGTGGTGAAATACCAGTCTCATTGATGCCTGTGGAAAAATTTGTGCTGACACAAGTAGAAATAGGACTCTCATTTGCATCCTACCACAGTATCATACTTGCCAGCACTTGTCTCTGAGGAGCTGCACCAACAGCACTACTACCAATCTTAAAACTATTATCCCAATTTCTAAGGAAGGAAATGGCTGCCTGGGGAGGAACATGGAAGTATAACAAGAAAACATAAATTTCCAAATCTTTTTCTAAAACAACTTGTTCTGATATAAAAAACTGTCTTTGTTCAAGGAAGAATTACCAATCTGGAATCTTGCTTCAATTTTTTTTACTGACAAACTATATCAAAGATACATAAACACACAACACATATATATTTAGTCCTCCTATATAAAAGTATAACCACTATATAATTTATATATTTCTAAGACCATAATTTTCTTCGGCTTGCATATACATCAATAAAGAGGTAACATGAAACGTTCCTTCTTCTTATATTTAAAAAAGCTCTGACAAAATGGACATTCATCCAGCACTTACTGAGTGTCAACTAAAATTCTGAGATGAGTTTAATTTTATATTTATTAATGACTATTCTCAGACCAGTGCAATAGGAATGCATGAATTAATGGGTGATTAAATACAGTGTTAATAACTAATGTGTGACATCAACATATATTTCAACTTTTTTTTTAAGAATTACTATGTTAGACTTGGAATTTAAATGTTAGTCTGTATGTCAATTATCTTTTTATATTTCAATCTGTTGTGTTAATTAAAACTAATTATAGCAATATAAAAAGAAATGCAGGTCGAATGATATATTAAAAAATTTGATGCTCAGAGA